GTATATTTTAATGTCCCTACTCTCAAGACCCGAGGCATTCTCTGTCACGATTTGTCCTGCAATATTCTGACGTAATAATGATGTTATTAATGTTGATATATCGATTAAAAAAGGGAAACATTTGGAAATAAAAGTGCTTAATATGCCGGCAGTAGTAAAGTTAAGGATAGACTGACGAGCATCTTTAAATGCTTTCATAAAGTAAAATACACAATGATGAAATAATAAAACACATAAGTGAAAAGGAACTTTCACCACCAATTTAAACGCTCACTCTTCCGTAACACTAGGTCTTATTCTTTTGGTTTTCAGGCGTCTCCATACAAGCCTTTTATTTTTGGTGATATTTTAGTAGAGTTAAATTGAATTTGAGTTCGAATTATGATTATATTGACATATTGCTATTTTCTTTTTTTTTTTTTTTTTTTTTTTTTAAGTTCCTTTAAGAGTTCAGATGGTAGACTCTGCTGGTGAATCAAGTCCCCAAGATTTGTCGTAACTCTTCGTGCCTTGTTCCGATTCATTTAAATAATGGAGGGTTCTCAAAATACCAAAGTAGCTTACGTTATATTAAAGCGTATAAAGCGAATCACGAAATTAATTTAATTATTTAATTAGTGCACCTCCCCATCTAGATTTTGATATTTACTTCAATCGAATTCGATTTTCCTTAGTCGTCGGATAGATTTTACATTTTCGTGCAAGAAGTCGTCAGCTGACAGACAAACTCGTATTTTCAAAAGTGTTTTCAAAAGATGCAGGTTGATGAAAATGATGCTCTGTTCGTTCCTTTATTAGGGCTTTTCACCCAAACGTGAAAAGACCGATTGTTTTTGTTTAGTTTCTAAGTCGTATTCTTTTTCTTCTTCCGTATTTTGTGGAGTCTCTATTTTTAGACGAGTGAAAGAAAAGTTTATGGTTTTGTTAGTATGTTTTTAATGGAGGTCTAAAGGTGCTACAGGAATATTTTCAAATAGGTCAAACATCAAATATGGCCGCGATGACGTCATACACTTAAAAACATTAAAACTGCTGTAACTTAAAAACCATTCATTGTGGAGAGTTTGTGCAAGTACAATGTATATTATTTGTAGAGAATTTCCTTATCTAATTTTTGTCAGACATGTTATTAGAAAATATGTCGAATAAAAAAGTTCGCTGTCAGGTCAAAGGTCATAAATTTAAAAAAAAATATTTCTAAGATTTTTGAAAAATTCTTCCGTAAATCAATGCAGAATGATTATCTGAGTATTTGACGTCTGCACTTTTTCCGTAACGTTTTTCGTTACCGTTTTACGCAATTTTGAAAATTTCCTTTGATCTTTATTATTCCAAAATCTTTAATAAACATCTGAATTAATTGGTATGAAAAAGTTTCCCCGTGGTTATTTTAGTAATTGGTGAGATTTGGAACCAAGTTAAAAAAACAAAATGGCCGCCATGACGTCATGTCCGATCTTAGCTTAAGTGTCAGTATCACATGAACGGCTTAATGTACTGAATTCAACTTTGGATATGTGATGTAGAATTAGATATAAATAACATTTCTCATGAAACTTTTTTTTCTATAAACGACAACTTCCGGTTTCCAGTAGGGATCAAATTTCAAAAGTGGGATTTTGTAATACAAACTTCTTTTCAAAAACCAAAAGGCCTAAGGTCATAATATATGGTCAAAATCATACTCAAGTGGTGGAAAATGAAGTTTGTTAATATGAACGACCTTGATCTATGTTCAAGGTCATTGGGGTCAATTATGTTAAAATGTTTAATATAACATTTTTTTCAATAACCCAATTGCAAAGGGTTCTCATATTAGCTATGTAATATGCTTGGATAAAGTCATACGTCAACTTCCGGTTTTCGGTAGGCGTCAAAGTTCAATTTTTCAATTTGTGACATAACCTTTTAAAATCTTCTTAAAAACTAAAAAGCCTAAGGTCATGATATTTGGTCAGTATTATACTCAAGTGGTAGACAATTAATTTGTTAATAAAAATGACCTTGACACATGTTCAAATTGACATATTAGTTGTTTCCAAAACTACTACCATGGCGACACAATAGGGGCCTCTGATTAGTCAAAATTTAGACATTGTCAGATTTTGACCGAAATTTGGTATAAAGGGGTACCAGGGGATGCCGAACTGCAATATATAGGTTCGTTGCGATGACAACCATACTAAGGCAAGTGCTGGCCTCTGATTCGTCGAAATTTAGAAATCATCCAATTTTGTCCAAATTTGCTATATAGGGCTTATGGGGGATACTGAACATCACTGTATAGGTTTTATCAATGAGAACCATTCTAAGGGAAATGGTGGGCTCTGATTGATCGAATATGAAATATTTCCCAAGTTTGACCAAATTTGGTATTTAAAGGTATTAAGGAATGCCGAACAGCACTATAGGTTTCACTGCCATGACAATCATGCTATGGTAAATGGTGGTCATTCATTGGTCAAAGTATAGATATTATCAGAACTTAACGAAATTAGATACATACGGGTATTGGAGGAGGAGCGGGGGATTGACCTTGATCTACTTTCAACGTCACTGAGGTCAGTTATGTTAAGATTGTATAAAGGCTTTCTCTCAATAAAGTAACCACCACAGCGTTGACATTTGGGAACAATGCAGATGAAAAGCCCGTTAAATTGTTTCAAATAATTTCTAGTTGTATACATTGTTCTCAACTGAAAACGTAACATTACTTACTTGGATTGATTAAGGTTTACTTAGTTGGTGTCGTCGATGAAGCAGGAGACGCTTACTCTTCCAGTACATCTGGTCTTATTATCTCCGTAATTTTTCAGGAGTCTCCGTGTAATTCTTTCTTTTGTTTATATTTTGCCCTAGTTTTATTTAATTTGAGTTTATTATTGTTTATTATTAGTTGGATTATGAGTATGTTGACGTGTCGGTATTGTCCTGGAAGGACAACAAAGTTGTGTATATTCTGAATAATGCCAGTGAGTGATTTTGAACATTGCATGCCGATTACGGTATCTAAATACTACTAGGTGTGCTCTTAGTTGAGCAACTATCATACAGATGGTTTCATCATAGTAGACTGTTTTGGGGATTTTGGCCGCGATACACATTTCAGCTTGAGTGGTATCGAAAACAAAAATAGCAACAATTTAATAATGATGATGTTAATTAAAAACTCAATTATAAGTGTGTAAATATGGAAGAACTCGAAAGCAAGTGAATCAGTTCAAGGAGAAACGTCATTTGTTTTATCATCGATACCAGTGAAGTAAATCCTGGTAAATTCGACTTATTTAGGTCATGTAGCAATGAAACCACCGGACATACTAACTACTATAGAAAACATTCATCTGCAAATAGAAAAGGAAGTGAAATATTTCCCGATGAGATCACACTGGAAACCATAAAGAGCCATTTTGCCATATTTTGATGCTTTGTCCTCAGTCTTTACGTCTAACGCCAATGAATGCAATACTCTAAATTTCAACGTTGCAATCTTGCCCAGATAATTTTGTCCTGAGCTCGAAAGCACAAAAGCTATATGTTTACGCAATACATTCTTTTAGAATAAACATCACCACAAATAAATTTCAAAAGGAATATTTTAAAATTGTTTGACAAGGTGACAAACATGTAAAACAATAATACGCTCCTGCGATCATTTTGCCTTATTCAGTCACTTTTACTAGTTTGATTAGTGCTGTCCTAACTGCTTGTTGTGACTTCCCTTCCGTTATTTAGAACATTTATTGACGCTGTCACTTGTCAGCTGTCATACACCACGGGAAAACCAAAAGAAAAATTATAAAGGTTCTGTGCTGAAAGCGGTTCTTAACTGCTCATTTGCTCCCAATTTTTCCCTTCAGAAACTAAAGATATCATTACTGCTTTATATTCCTTTGTGTTAATAACTTTTTGTCCGTGATATTCTTTAGGTTTTAAACAAATTGTATTAGTTATAATTCGGTCGAATCCTTAACTCCTGTTCGTTTGTGTAAGAGTTATTTAGTATTCGTGAAAGCAGCCACGTCTTTAAAATTTTGAAAATTCAATATCCAAATTCAAGTGAAACTTGGTCGTTTTCGCAACAACAACAAAACAAGTAAACTCAGCTTTTATCAATTACTCTTCTACGCCAAGATCGAAGGGATGCACACAAATCTTACTTTGTAGCGTAGAAGAATTGCTCTAAGAACGAAACTTAATCATAATCCTAACTCAAATTCAATAAAACTAGGACAAAACATACAAAGAGACTACAGGAAAAAAGTACAAGGATGATAAGACCAGGTGTTCCGGAATAGTAAGCTGCTTCTGCTTGATCGACGACACCCACAACAACGATGTCGAGCAGGAGACCCTATACATTACCATGTCCTATCACAGAGCAAATATCTCTTACGAATGGTGAGTGTGAGATCAGTGAGTGGCTCCACAATGTACGTTATCATTGACTACTTTGAATTGCACATTTATTTCACAAGAAACAGTTTGTTAATTGATGTTATTGTGATATCAAAAAACAAACTATATCTTTATGTGATGTTTATCTATTATTTATTGATTCGTTCATCCTTGATTCTCCACAGATAAAACCAAATACATGATAATACGTAACAGTGCAAATATTAACCCAAAAAATACTTTTTTAGTCCTCAATTAAAATATTAAAACTGTGTCATAGAAAAACATGGTAAAAAGTATCATACAGAAATATGTATAAAAACCATCGAACGTTTCTCAAACGAAGCTTTATTTTTTTCTCAAGTTTTCCAGGGAAAGCAACCATACAATTTTTCGTCCGTATCTGACCTTTATTTTATAAAACTTTTCTGGCTTATCATGTCCAATTAGTCGTGAATATTTCGACATATTGAAAAGCATAATCATATTTTTGAATACTTTCTTTACATACATATACAATGTAGATATATCTAATCACAATATAAATTATTTCTTAATTTTGTAAATATTTCATGAATATTTCTACAATGAGGGACACGTTTTTATAAACTATCTATATATCCAATGGGGTGTGTATAGTGCTTGGACCTATACCGAAGGTTTTCCAAACTTGTATTCATAGAACTGTCTTTAACTGCAAATGGGACTAATCCACGGTCACACCTCATTGACGGTGGGGGTAACAAAGCAGGATGATTGAGGGAATAGCCAGGATTGAATCCAGGGTAACGTGACGTCATATTGAACATGTTTGCGGTTTGTTGTTGGAGTTGCATTTGCGCATGCTTGTGAAGAACTGCTCCAGACAACTGTTGATTCTGCCAATGAAAGACGCTGATGTTTGGGAGGATGTTACTGGACGGAAGATCCGTGGGTGGACGACAATATGGTATATCTGAAATAATACACATGTATTCCATTAAACTTTCAAGATACCAAACTTGCTTTTTTTGCGATATACCTAGTCACAAGTCAAAGTAAATGCTTTAGAAGAAAAACATAATTTCTTCTTAAGAAAAATGCGTATAAAGCAATTAATCGGAAAGATATTTTGTTGAATCTCCAGGAGTTTGTGGTACCAGTCTTCAGAACAAGAATTTGTTTCTAAGAGATGGTTTTACTTGTTGCTTGTTACTAACAATATAGTTGTGAATGAAGTTTAACTTTAATAAAAGAAGCTTCGCTCGAATTCTAACGAAAACAGAAATAATTTGAACATTTGATTTAAAATACAATCTATCATAACATTGTTTTTAAATGGAAGAGACTTAAATTTGCCTACTTTTAAAGAAAGTACAGTTGGTATTTAATCAACAATGCTTTTCTTTTCAGGTGTTGTAAAGATTGTTATTTTTATGATAGCGTCATGTTTATATATAAATATACGGAATTTTAGAGATAAAGCAAAGTTTTGAAAATAATAAAGAAGGGAACTAGTGAATAAATTGAAAAATACTGTTAGGAAGTCAATTGAAACAGATACAACTGAATTGATTACCTTGTTTATCAGGTAGATACTCAGGTGTGCTGTCATTTCTGTCGGAGTCGTCATTAGTTCTATTGTCGCTAGGGACATCAATTCCTCCCGAAGAATCATCTGGTTCTAGGAAAGAAAATATTCATACAAGTAGACATTATTTATATCCATACCGTAACGAAAACACACAAACAGCTAATTTAAGAGATGATGATGATGATGATGATGATGATGATGATGATGATGATGATGATGATGAGTAGCTGTTTGATTATGATTTTAATCCGTTCATTGTTTAAGTATATCAACAGATGTAGATATGTATATTTACCTGTCTTGGTTTTTCGTAAAGACGTCCCACTAGTGTTTTCAGTAATATTTATCTCCTCCTGTTTTTCAAGCTCTGCTGTTTCTTCCTTACTTCCGGTTCCGTTTGTTTTTGCAGTTAGTTTCACATCAGTCGGGTTTTTCCCTTTCGTTACTTTCTGCTTCTTTCGGAATTTAGCTCTTCGGTTCTTGAACCAGACCTTTACGAAATAATCATTTCAATATAATATCATGCTGACAGGGGTTATAGTGTGAGTTAAAGACTAATGTGGTGGTTTTATCAAAGCTGTCGGTCAAGGTGTCAAAGAACTCTCCAACTGACATGTCAATTTATTAATCAATCAAGGAATCCAAACAATGACAAGAAACATCCAATTAGACAGAGGGAATTGAGAACAAGAAATAGTAGAATTGGATAAAACTTGAAAACATTGATTGCATGAAGCGTCAAAGAATAGCCAGATCTTGTTTATGGATTCGCTCGTATTTAAAGCACCATCGTAAATGCAAGCACCTTGTGTATGGACAAAAGAAAATGAGAAAACTTTAAAAATTGAGTGATCAATTCATATCTTCCGACAAGGTATTTTATTTAAACATAATGACATAAATATTGGCCACGGACCTCGCCCTCCGTTCAATATTTTCTTTGTCGACATCACCGAGTATCGACCTTATAAAAATGTTATATTTGTATATTACATACCTGTATTCGTGCTTCTGGAAGGCTAGTCATCATTGCTAAACGTTCTCTCATAACTACATCTGGATAATGGGTTTTTGAGAATGTTTTCTCCAATGCAGCAAGCTGCTGATTCGTAAATGCGGTCCTGCTTCTTCTCTGTTTACGGTGTTGGCCGTACCTTGCCTCTAAAAGTATATCCGCTGTTGGAAGAAGAAGGAATGAAAATGATTATACATATTCCCAAGGAAAGACTCTATTAAAACGTTCTATTGACTTTAAAGTATTTTCAAAGTATTTCATAACGCATTTTTCAGAGTATGCATAAACCATCCAAAATTTATCAATATATTTCTTTAATCAGAAAATAAAACAAACGAATAAAATACTTCAAAACGAAATATGTTTCTTTTCCTAAGATTGATAAAATCCTATACGACAGGTTTGAGTTTTGTCACAAAAAGCTCGATAATTAGACTTTCAAACAATGAAAAACAACTGATTTCCAGGAAATGATGGTTGTGTACTATGGTATATGTTCCTATGAATGCTATAAAACTACAACCGTGCCGAGAATAAATTTGTCAATATATTTTACAATCTGTTTCGTCATCAGCATTGTGACGTCACAAATTCGATCGGTATATGCTTTTACGTCAGCCTGATTCAAATTCCCTATGTGATGATTCCTAGAGTGATACGTACTCGTATCTATAAGCATATTTATGTATAGCTGAGATTAAAACAGCGGAACTATCATACTATGCTATTTTGTCTTCCAAAAACACTTCCATTGTCACTATAATAAATGCTTAAAAGAACATCATATGACGTCATAGAGTTGGATGAAGTGCTATATTTTCCAAGAAAACACTTCCTGTATTTTAATCTCTTACATTATGCCGTAAATAAAAAAAATTAATTTGTCATGTTATAACTCTTGTAACCTATTTACTTCATGAAAATATGTAAATCTATTGATATATTTTTAATAAATAATGAAATGATACATATATAAGATTAATTAATAACTCTTTTAATCGATTGCATAGGAAACAGGTGTGTGTTTGTGTGCTAATTGTGATAATGTTATACATAGATAAACCTACCGGCAAGCTTTTCTGCCAGAGTGAATGCTTGAACAGATGACGGAAATCCAGAATTAAAAGAGGACGGAATATGACTGTGAAAGAATGATCCTCCAGGAAATGAAGGTGGTAGTGTACCTCCGAATCCAAATCCCGTGGGTGGGGGAGGCGGGTAGGTCGCACCGGATAGATTCTGCATCATCATTGTCTGAAACCAAAGCATAAATGTTTAAAATGATAAAAAATTAATGTAACTTTAGTAAGGAATATGTTATTATATTTCCATCGCTGTAATAAAAAAAATATTCGCACAAAAAAAAAGAAAGAAAAACTTCTTATAAGTAAAAAAATATATATATATATGTCGTTTTTCATAAAGACTCAATTAAGAATTTCTATGAAAATATTTTTTACAGTAAAAGATTATCAAAGTAATCCCTGAACACTCTAACAGCATATCTAAAATAATACACGCTTGCAGGGAAGTGTTGTTTTCTTCAGATAAGTTTCCATTATGATAACAAATGTCCACGTAGCAAATCCATAATGGTTTAACAAATTATGAGATATTGAAAAAAAATAATAAATTCTTCATCTTTTTCTCTAACAGATAATTCGAAGCATTTTGTAAGGCTAGAAATTGGATTATTTCAAATGATTTCTTATCACAGTTTTACCTTTATGAAACAGGTACGATCCAGCTATACACCTGTGTCCTGTTTGAAATAGACTGTTAATATGAGAGTGATTTTTTCCTGTTAATAGTACGAAAGGTTTGGCTTAATATTGGTCAATAAACAAAAGACGTGTTAGATAAACAGTAGATACCTTCTCTGACACCCTAGGGTCTCTTCATATTTACAATCAATTAGTACAATCACTTGATAGGATCAAAGAAACTGTGTTTGCCATCTCAAAAATCCTCCACGAGTAAACATAGTTAACCTTCAGAGGCGCTCAAAGGGGTTCTACAAGTGTATGAACAACGGCAATCATTGTTTGACTGAAATTAGTCATTATAATTATTTTATGCGTGTCAAAGTTGAAGTAAGAAAAAGATAAAATTGATAAATAAGTGAAAAATCTTCAATTAGGCCCATAGGCCGAAATGGAGCCAACTTTAAATACCCAATCGGGACCCCATGAAAACGAGAATCGGGATGTCATTATTTATAAGTTCATTTTGATCTGTACGGAGCTATTCATCAACACTCTCGAATCAATTCAGGTTTTAAATTTAACTTCTTAACGGGTATTTGGAACACTTAATCTGTTTAAAAAGCGGTTTTATTTCGTGAACATTGTAAATTTAAGACTAAATTCCAATAAACTGTTTGCTCGGACACCGATAGTGTAAAGAGTAGGTACGTGTTTAAGTAGCAGAGCCTTGATAAGTATGGGAATATGATCGCCATTTAAGTTTGGATCTAAAGTCAATTAAACGTGAGGCCATATACGGGAGATTAATATTTTGTTCTATAAATGTTATTTTTTCATTTCACAATTTCATTTAATTGAGATACATTCAAATTTAAGCATCAAGAAAGACAACAACCAAAGACATCTTACCACGTTGACAAAAGATAGAGTTAATATAAGACTTCCTATATACTAATGAGCACGTTAAAAAATAGTAGACGTTTAATTTATGTTTCCTCTTATTTTGAATAACTACAGTATTTTTAAATTAACTTTTCAAACAGATTATTCGAAGAGTCTTAGTAGGGGAGGAAACCGGATTATTTCGGGAAAGCCACTAAGGTAGACCAGGTGACATCACCGTTTTCAAGCTCGATCGAAGATTCGAACCCCAGTCGCTTTAGTGAAAGGAGAGTATGATTTTCATACATTTTTCATATTACACCATAAGCCTCATCACCACGACTACTACCAAATGCTGTATCCCCGGTATCAACAATCAGAAACATATCTACATGTAGTATAGCATCAAAATATATGGATAAATACCATACCATACCGTCAACACAGCAAGTGTTCAGATCTCCATTTACACATAAATTATAGCAGATTTTGTAGATAGCTAAGAATCGAAACTTCAAACTTCATAATTTGTAAAGCAACACAGGCGTTTTCATTAATAACCAAACCTGTTTATTAAACAGTACTTAAAGGTGTATTTATTCTATATACTGACTTGAAACCGCTTGCCAGAATATGACGTCAATTGCACTTGGACATTAAGTTTTAAGTAAATTGGTATTGTAAAGTTATAATTGAAAGCTGGTTCTAAATATCTTTTCCTAAGACGACACAGGTATTGGAATGATTTTGTTTTCTGGGAAAATATGAACTCAGTGGGAAAAGATACACTATATACTGACACGTAGTGATGGAATAATTCAGATATGCTACCGTATAAGTCAAACCATTAATATGGCAGCATCATACAGCTGTGTCAACCAGCTAGGAATGAAAGCAACAAGGTGCCTAATATTGAAAATCTACAGGACAAGTAAGGAAAAATTAAAGCCAGTCTTTACATGTCCTTTTTGTTATATTCCGGATTAATTTAAAAGAATGTGAAGAACGTTTGTATATTCTATATGTGTCTTTCTTTATTGGAGTTTAGATGCATGCGACAGACAAAAACACTTCTTATTTGTAAAACCTCAAACGATAATCAATCAAAATTGAAACCTGATACTGGTTAAAGGAATATAATAACGAACAACTATTCATTTTTTTAGGAAAAGAAAATACCTTCATGGCGACATAATCATAATTTCAAACTCAACTTCCATAAAACTAGGACAAAATATGAACAAAAGAAAGATTTACACGGAGACTCCTGAAAAAGTACAATAAGAATAAGACCAAGTGTTCCGGAAAAATAAGCTTCTTCTGCTTCATCGATGACATCTGATACGTAAGCCTTGGTCAATCCAAGTAAGTAATGGCACGCTCTCAAATGAAAACTAACGAGCATCAAATACGTCTATCTTCATGTCGCACAAAGCAAATTATGTTACAGTCAAACCTGAAGATATACGATTAATCCTTTTCAAATGATTTTTCAAGCTAAATCACTAATTTTTCGAGAATCTATACCACCAACATATTAACATGAAGAACGGCTTAAATCACATTTAGCATATATCTCTATTTAAATTAATGAAAGAACCTTCGGGTTCCTCTCGAGATGTGTTCATGTTGTGTTTACTCACCGTGTTTAGTATCCGAAGTGCAAACTAATTGAACAGTGATAACTAGGTATCAGGTTTTCGCAATCCGGAGACACTCTCAAGCGGTCAAAATGGTAGCTCCTTGCGCCCTTAAAGAAATTGATTTCAGAAGATTAAACCGTGATTAACTATTCAAGAGCACGGCTTTAAGTGTCGCTTAAATCATAAGTAAATAACAAAGCTGAAATAATGAAGTTGGAAGAGGCGTCGGTAAATGCTTTGTAAATATCCGGAAATATTTGAATATATCGCTTTACCAATTAGATAACACTCATCATACACTAATGGCAAACACGGAAAATCGAAATATTTATTTTGTGAGAAGAGATAGAACGTATACACTTTTAGACTTATATTTTCTGTCATTAAAATCCTTTGATGTTTTTTTTTCTTCTTTTTTTATGGAAAACGAATGTTTAGTGCGGTAATTGATATATAGAAAGGTGTTAATTCTAATCCTTTGAAGAAAAGTGACTTGTTTGAGTCATCATCTTCAGATTAAGTGATAAAAACTAATTGAATCGAATTCGAATAGAATGTACATACAGAATCATTAGAAGTGCTTGCATAGACGTGCGTCATCTGTTTGCTGAACGAGGGACCAATGTTAGTATGCAGGGCTTAATATTTAGGTAAAGCAGACGATGGAACTATCGTTTTTATGTGAAACATGATTTTATACACGCGAAACATATTCACAACATGTTGGGTACAGCGCAAAATGTACTAATAGGTAAACATGTCAGAATACAACGCACGACAGGATCAGCAAATGGACATCATATACCACAATGTTAACACACCAGCACAAAATCTTTACCCAAGTTCAAATTCTACCAAAGTACAATCCTAGAATATAATACAGTCACAGGGATGCATATAATTAACCACATATCATTCTTATGCTACTGTACAGGTCTCCATACACGAGTCGAATGCCTACAGCACTGTTGATTAGAATTATTTTTACAGTCGTCAAAATGATCCCATTCCGAAATATTCTACTTCCTTGTCCGATGATCGATGCATGTTGGTTTCCTTATTGTATTACTCTTTTGTAACGTTATTTGCTTCGATTGACAAAGATTTACGTAGTAGAGGTTGTCGATAAAGCTGCTAACGCTTACTCTTGCGGAACACATGGTCTTATTTTTCTTACGTTTTTCAGGAATCTCCACATAAGTATTTGTATTGTTAATGTCTTTACCTATTTTCAATTACTCTTGTAATATTAGGCCGTCAACACACAAACTCTATACTATTCTATATATCTATCTATTCACAGCGACAACAATGTATAAAACATCGATTTGCAAACCCGAACACATTACAGAATCACTACACTAAAACAAATGTAAATATCATCAACAACCAGTAAAACATCATTCTACATCCTTAGCATTATGCGATAAATAATCCACATCTTACAATGAAGTAGCACAATAAAGTCTTCAAACAAAGTGAGAAATTATGCCATAGATTACTACTTTATCAATGGTGATTCGCGATGAATAGTAGGAAAGTAGAAAAGGGGAAGACACAGTGATATCTAATGAAGCATAAAACCCAAAATTGATCTTTGTATAAGTAAGTCATGTCTACTCCAGGAACTGTTTCTTCACCAAGAAACAGAGATGCATTGGCAAACTCTCGACATTATCTGAAGTCTATGCCGTAACTGTTGCACTGACTGCCGTTCACTTCTTAACAGTGATTTCATGTAAAAATGTCTGTTACTGTAGGAACTTTACACCATTATAGTCTGCATTCAGATAATTAGCACACATTCTACCTATAAATGAAACTTTTGAAAGCAAATTGTAGTGCTGAATAAGTTCGCGTCATGAAAGCAATGTCGTCCGCTAATCAAACTGGAATTATCTTATGATATCTTTCTTCATTTCTATGATAAACATAAACATGTTTGTAGTATTTTTAAATGCTGAAATTTGCAGAATAAATCTTATGGCCACTTTGATTTCATTAGAAATATAGACCTGTTCCTTCCGTTCATCTGAAGTTATGAAAATAGGGTTTTATTGAATTATGGGGCTGGCGCACCTCCCCATTTACATTTTGTCATTTCTTCACGATCATGTTTGATTTCACTTGGTTGCCTTCTAGTTTTCAAAAATTAGGCCCGTAGTATTACTTACGAGTCCTAAGGGACGAAAAAGCTGAATGATGCCGTTAAACTGATTATTAGGCTCTGCTTTATCTAACTCAAACTTTCAATAAAAAGGTGTTATTCACTTATTTGTTTTTTTACAATCTTTATGATCACCGATCATACATCTATAAATAGATTCTTCACCGGAAATGAAATTCCCAAACGTACTTATGTGGTAATAATAAAGAAAACACCTAGATTTAAAATGTTTTATCTCTAAATCGATTTTGTGTGTACATCATTGATCAAATTATAGCATGTCAACCAACTCGTTAAATGTTGAAATAATCTGAAAATATGACTTTATCACAATTCTCGTCCTTTTTCTTATATCCTCCCTTTCAAGAAATAATAAAACAGCTGGCTATATTAAAAAGAAGACCTATTTCATACATAGAAGAACGATTATGGTATCGCTTCACGCAGTTTAGAATACAGCTTGCTTACATACCAAGAATTTTGCTCAAATTTGAGGTTAATCTCATCCACCCACACCAAAAAATAGTTTTGACATAACTTAGCATAATGTTTACTCGAAGTTTAACCTTCGAGATAATACTCCAGCTTTCGTCGACTAAGAGCTGTTAGTATGTAGACTCTTCAATGTAAAGCGCGTTGCATGAAAAAGACATATCAAATGGATTACAACAATTGCTCGTCAAAAATTTGCAAAATTGGCAGAAAATTACAATGAATAGAAAGGTTTTATTAAGTATGAATTTGTTTTAAATGATTGTTTCTGACATTATAATTGTAGCTTCTTCATTGTTCACGGCTTACATCTCAAGTTTATCCTTTTTCTTCCTTTTTTTACAAGAATTCGAGTATTCCTACATCTAATCTGGATATCTTTTGATCCCACATATTTTCGATATGCCAAGTTTCATTACATATCAACAAGTGTCTATGACGAAGTCAACCCATTGAGAGGACAGATAGTGTCATTAAAGAAAATAGTAAAGGTGCTGATCTGGTCAATGTGATTTCTATGAAGACAATCGGAAATGTAAAAATTTTACAACTTGTCAAATTTTCTTATTCTGAATGTATTAAGATTAATCTACAGAAATTGAGAAGGATGGTCCTATCTCATACCTACATATTAACTTCTATTTCAACAATACATATCTCATTTCAAATTTACGGAAATACAACATTGTTGTGTGACGGTATTGTTTGCGATATATCCAGTAAGATAATAAGGCCTCGTTTTTCTTTTTAATTCAAATGTTTTAGAACTTACGATAAACTACAATTTAGCAGTTCACAACATATCTCATTCTAATGGATTATTGTGTAAAATAGGAATTCAGTGTAATATATATAGGATCTTAAATGAATTTTCACATGAGATATTATGAAACACGTCTTAAAAGTATTTTTTTCATCCATTTCATCACATAACACAAAAAAATTACAAATTATAACGCAACCAGTCATTTGTTGAGTTTTTAATTCTTGACGCCACGTCAGCGTCCACGTCATGACATCATGAACAACTTCTTCTGACTAGTGCGGCCAATGGAAAACATTTCGGTGAATAGATGTTATTACAGTAGTGACTTATACGCAAAGCAATTACATAGGCGATTCGGTGGATAATAGGCGGATTGTGTGATAAATACAGTCTTAATTGCGTCTTTTGTCCATATTGAAAATTAAGATACGGATTTATCTTATGTTAACCACAGAAAAAGTAGGCTAATGAGAATCACAAATATATGGTATTGTATCGTCCGAGAAGACAGGATATCTATCAATTTTTTAAACTATATACATGTTCTACAATATTTCTCGATATATGGTTACGGTCATTAAATGTCTGTTACTATAACTTTACGAACTCCTTTTGGTAAATTTTACCAAACCTTAACCCTAGAATCACCGACGTACAAGAATAACCATTGGAGATTATGTAAATTCAGATACGTCAACACCGTAATGGCGGAAACAGTAATGTTACTGTTGAGGAATGGGAACATCATAACCTTGAAATCAAAATCATCGCTTTGTTATCACTTAAGTTATTTTATTTCAAGTCATGTCAGTGTTACTTTTATAAAAAAAAAATCTTAACATGCATGCGGTTAACACATTGGCTTATTTACGAAAATGGTTGAAACATCAAAATGTTAAAGAGTTATGTTCAACTGTAAATTTATAATGCATGTACTACGATACAGATTACCAACATCTGTATGAATCTACCAACCGTACTGTATGTAGTCAGTCTGTCTGCTTACCAATGCAATCTACTCCACCAAGTTTATCTGGAGGGTATTTGCCAATGAGGAGGTACCAGTTCAATTTACTTTGGCCAAAATGTTAATGATATCATACTATGATCATAGAGT